AAAAAAACAGTGAAATAGGTCGAGTGAGAACAACATGGCAAGAGAAAAAGTCTGGGAATTCAACGACAATAAAAGTTGTGCCGGTTTTCCTTGGAAAACGCAGCGAAATAGGATGGTTTATACTTACCGCGGAATACACACTTGAGTCGTCCATTGTTTGGTAGTACTCAGAGTGAGATGACGTCATTCAGAACTCTTAGGAATGTACGCCGCAAGTTGGCATTTAAATCGATGTCGCAATCGTCGGAAAACCATTTTTCGTTCGCGCACGGCGAACTTGCACTATTTTCGTCTTTATGTTCAGCATATTCTCATTTAACACAACCAACATATCATTTCAGCAAATTTCAGATGGATTTAAATTATAACAAAAAAGCTTGAGAATGCCGCTAATGGCCTTTTAATGCATGGAATGGAAATTGAAATTCACACGCTATTTTCTGTTTACCTCGTATTCAACCTGCATTTAATCGTTCAATATGTGGTATTATCTCATGTAGTATATACGATGATCCACAATCATTGAACAATAGTTGCCCGAATATTGCTCTAATTAAATTAAAATACAAAAAAAAATGTGTTGAGAAATGTGGAGATTTTCACATAGTATTACCATTTATTTTCGTTTAGAAACGTTCCACACTACCTATGACCGCTGTACACAGCTGGCCCACAGGTGGAATAGATGACGGTGTCTTGCCAGTTACTGTAGGCGAGATTGCTGGGATTTCAAGCAACACTGTAGGAAATATTGTTATATTTCATAGAGGTTCACATAAATGGTCATATGAGTAAGTATGTGTACTGAATATATTAAAATGTAATATGCTTAGCATAGTTCGAACTATTTCAGTTTTTTAGATAATGGCTGTTTTATACATCGTATTGCACTGAATAATGGTTGCAGTTGCCTTTGGTGTGTTCATAAACTTGATGTCTGCTATTTATAATAGAACTATTGGCTAATTGTTGTTGATATTGAAATCTACAACTTTTCAAGCCACACAAAATCCTAGGAATATCGGACATTGCTCAAATTCGATATATTTTAGCAATCAAATGAACAAAACAAATGCATGTTATTTGAAAAGAAAATAGCAGCAACATTATCCAAAATTGCTGATAAAAATTCAGCGATAAGAATAAATTGAAATTTTTATATGACTTGAATGCATTGGGCTCAAACACAGGGAAAATTTTCAAGTGACCCTGTAGTCGGGTCAAAATATGAAATATAACAGCTAACCCTAAAAAAATTGATACAAAAGGTTTTCAATTGATCTTGATTCCTCCAGGCATGCTTGGAAACATTTTAGGTGGAATGATGTAACAGTTAAATCTCATACTGTCCGTGGTGCCATCTTCAGCAAGAGTGAAAGTAAGAAAGTTGTTTCTGTAATTGGTGGTGGGTTAAGGTGCATGGTTACTCTCCGTATATTTACCAATGTATAGGCTATTTGCATTTTATGATTTCATAAAGGCACTAATGTATGTGTATTAATATTTTCATTTTTTCTTCCAGGTACAAGTAGAATTCATCCAGCAGTGACCAGATCTGTCCCATTTGTCTGGGTAAATTAGAAGATGGAGGTGATATAGTCAAGATTCAACTAAAAGGTGCTAATGGGATCAATGAAGCTAGTGTTAGGAGAGGCGACACCATTTCTGTAACAGCTGGCTGTAAAGTACATTCAAACTGTTGCAAAATTTACACAAACAGTATAGAAATTGAACTTCATTTAAAGAGGAAGCAGAGTGGTGAACCCACTACCACTAATAAAAGGAGTGCTAGGGTTTCTGAAGGTCCGTTCAACAGCAAAACTGATTGCCTTTTCTGTGGCACTAGTGTCCAAGAAGGAAGTGCAGACTATAGTTCTGTGAAAACTCATATCTTTTCACAAACAATATTGCAATGTTGTGATAACCGGTCTAATGATGAGTGGTCTTTCAAAGTCAAAGGTAGAATTGAATATTATCATGGTGATCTACATGCTGCAGACTGTGTTTATCATAAAGTTTGCAGTAGTCATTTCAGGTGTGGCCGTGATATACCCCTGCAGTTTCAGACTGATTCTGAACCCAAGCGTAGGAAACCTGGAAGACCTAAAGGTGAGGAACAACAACAAGCCTTCTCAAAGATGTGTGGATACCTGGAAAATAATGATGAAGAACAACTGACTGTTTCTGACCTAAGGTGTAAAATGAATGAGTATTTGTCTAAGGCCGATTCCCTCCCATATGGTAATCAATACCTGAAAAGTCAGCTGAAGAAACGGTATGGTAATTCTATATATATTGCAGAAGGAGATGGTTTAGATGACATAGTGACAATGAGAGAAAAAACGTCACAAATTCTCAGATCATATTTCAACAGTACAAACCGAGAAGGTGATGAACAGTCGCAGAAGAGAGCAATACTTGAGACAGCTGCAAGGCTCATAAAAAGTGACATCAAGACAAATGTGCTACCCGTTACCGATCAGTATCTGACTACAGAGAAACTCAAACTCCAGCCTGCTCTTGATTACATTCCAGAATCACTCAGCATTGTGTTAAAAGCCTTGTTTGTTGGTAAAGACACACGTCGGAAAGTTGCTAGCATTGGCCATGCAATCATACAGACCACGAGCCGTCCTTGCTCCTTTGCAAATCGGCCTTTCAGTGCAAATGCACCACTTAAATAGGTCTAGGTTTCTTGTGGATACATTGTGTCAGATGGGGTTCTGTTCGTCCTATGGAGAAATTCATAGGTTTGAAATGAATGCTGCAAATTGTGCCGCACCAAACATGCTTGGTGAGGATATTGATGTGTTGACCTCGGCCTTGTTGTTCGCAGCTGACAATGTAGATCATAACATTCTCACAATTGATGGTAAAGGAACATTTCACGGGATGGGCATGATAGATGCATTGACACCAGGACAGAAGACAGACCATATTGTCCCTAGGTACAAAACGATGGAACTGAACATTGTAGAGAAGGCAAAGGTTGAAATAGTAGATCATCGTTTTGCCAAACACATTCGCCGAGAAATCACATTTGCAGAACTTCCAAGTCTAACTGAATGTGACAAAATAGTTGATCTTCTGTGGGAGTTATCATTCAACTTCAAACAGGCCACACCAGGTTGGCAAGGGATGATGCATATCATTTATCAGGGAAATGAGCACCCTGGTCAGTCTTCAGTCAGTGATAGACATGTACTCTGTGGACAAGACGTGCATTCTGTCAACATTGGAGTTTCTGTGTGGTCTTGCCTCCAAGCACCACATTGCCCCAGTAATTACATTCGACCAGCCCCTATATTGGAAGGCGACAGAGATAATCCTTGATTCACCACCGGGCAGCCATCTTAAATCGATTGTCCTGCTGCTTGGCTGTTTCCACACGTTTATGAACTTGCTAGGAGCAATTGGTACACTAATGGATGGCACGGGACTTAAGGACATCCTAGGGGTAGTCTATGGTGAAAATGCTGTAGCCCATATGATGACAGGCAAATCAGTTCAGAGAGCATTCCGTGGTCATCTTTTTGTAGACAAATGTCTTAACCGTGTGATGGTGTCAGAGATGGCAGATGATATACCCGAATTCACAACAATGATTGAAGAATCTGAAGAGATATATACTGCAATATTGAATGGTGAAGAGACATTACAAACTGTATTCACATCGGAGACCCTCAGTCGAATAAACAAAGAGCTTAAAAAAAAGAAAACAAGTCAATTGTGGCTGAATTACCAAAGCATGGTACAAGTTGCTAGATCACTGATAAAGGCATATCGGACAGGTTCTTGGCTGATGCACATACGCGCCGTTTCTGACTGCCTGCCGATATTCGCCGCAGCTGGGCATTACAACTACTTGAAATCAGCATACTTCTATTTTCAAGAGATGAATCAGCTTGACATCAACCTCCCAGATTTGAAAGGGGTTTTCATGTTATCCGTCGCAGTAACCAGTTCTGGGCAGGCCTTAGCTCAAATCTGGTCATCGAGTCGACATTGATGAGATCATTGAAGACCACTGGAGGTCTGACACGTGGAAGCGGAATGTCAGAAGAGCAGAGAGCACTTTGAATAATGTCAAGCCCCATAACATCAGAGTACAACATCGCAATGCAGGAGTTCACAAACCTGTCATACACAACATCTGAACAGCACAAGGATTTGACGGAGGCAAGGATGAAAAGGGATACTGCTGACCTGGAGAAGATCAGTTCGAAACTTGCTGTATGCTCACCTTTTTCGCCAGACTCTTCATTAAGGAACATTGTTACTGGTGTTGTAGCTGAGGAAGGTGTGAACGTGCATGAATATGAGGCTGTTGAACGCAAAATAATGCTCAAAATGATCGGAA